TGTGCTCAGAGTGTCTCCACAGAAGTGGTCTGTTCCCTCATCCAATGAGCTCTGCCTGTTTGTCGAAGTGACACTCCAGTGGACGGAAGCCAAGAGCCTATAGTAGCGATCCTGAGGAAAATTTCAGCAGCTGTGGCCATGTAATTTAAAACCTCTGAAAAGTGTGCTGCGGTCCGTGCACAGCATTAGTATAACATGAGGGCTGGATGCAGCCCGTTCGGAGGACTTCCTCGCCCGCTGCAGGAAAGGGAAGACTGAGAGACAAACCTGGGTGCAGCCGGAGAGGTCCAGATAGATGAGCTTGTGGCATCCATTCCCCAAGTTCAGGTACTGTAAGCCTTTGTCTGTGAACTTTCTGCAATAAGCCAAACTAAGATTCTGTAAGTTGTGGAAGTGCCTGAAAGGACAGAGCGAGAAAAGAGAGGAAAGAAAGTGATTATACTTCAGTTGTTCTCTCCAGTCTTTCTTAAGCCACTATCACAAAGAGAAGTAAAATTGTGAATTAATCTCTTCTCCTTGCAGATGTTCAAAAGTTTAACTTTATTGTTAACACTCTCCCTGTTGATTAAAGGAGACTACAGTGGTATACCACATAATGCATAATGACATTTCAAGTGAAAATAATTCATGAATATAAGAATATTTGCCGAGATTTTTAAGAAAATTGAGTGAGATAAAGCTTTTTGGGGGGCTATGTGGTGGGGGGTGCATTCATATTGTTTAGAAGTTAGTTTTTGAAACCAAAGTTGCAGAGTTTACTTTATAGTTGCTTTTAGTTTTTATCTTTGGAGCACTAAAATAATGTGCAAAATGTCTACAAAGACAAACCCTTTATAAACATTTAAATGCAGATTAACTGTTAAAGGAGAGTGAGGATTTGAGGCAGAAGAAAAAATTGAACAAAAAAGGCTCTTAAAATGAAGCTGATAAGCAAATGTCCTGAAAAATAGATTTAAATATGCATGATTTTGTAAGTAACAGTTTCACTATTATGGCTAAAGAAAAACTAATTGATATACAGAGCTTAAACATGGGTTAAGAAGAACAGTCTGCAAATGAGTGGGCAACACATGAGAAGAATTAAAAACAACATTGGAGGCTATCGATCTCACTGGAATTGGAACAGATTAAATATGGCCTCACCACAATGACCAAAATGAGAGCTTCCAGAAAAAAGGAGGGTAATTGGTACGAGCCTGTGCTACCCTGCAAGGGCTTGCAGTTTGAGTACGTTCTGTGGACAATTTTCCAAGCCCTCCTAAGCCTGGCATTTTTTAAAAGTGCAAGGACTCCCACTACTGCCTGCTCTTGTAATGGAATTAACAAAATGCTCTTGGTTTGTGATCTACAATAGTTTAACAGCAAATTAAAATGAACAACAAAAAGAACGAAAAGTGAGGAGAAAATGCTTCTCTGCTCCTCAAAAGCCTACAAATAAATAAATAAAGTTTACATTCACATAAATGGGAAATAAGATTTATAAGCATTGACCATTAATCATATTTATTCCTAAAATTTGAAAAATATATCTATATGATATAATGAGTCCCATCCCATAGTGAATTACTTGATTCAGAACATACATGCCCATCTGGGAATGGCTGTGTACACGAGATCGACGGAAAGAGAGGGAAGGCTTGGACTCCCTAGAAACTGGGTAGGCAGGGCCCTGCAGGAGAAAGCAGCACTAACATCCCAAACACACGTCCCCTCCATGGGGCCTCCAGTGGCCTAAGAGTTGTGCCAAAGTTTTGGAAATGTTTTATCTTTCTCTCCCTTGAGTATACCCCATGATTCAACTAAGTACAATTTTCTTTGGGGAGAGGCCAGGGGTATCATTTCTAACTTCAGTTCTCTAATTTGGAGAAAGGAATAGTGAGGCCCAACATGATGGAAAATACACAAGGTTTTGGAATCTGACCAAACTGGATTCGAATCCTAACCCTGACACTTGCTACAACTTCCCTAACCTTTCAGAGATTGTTTCCCATCCATTAAGTGGAGATAACATTATCTTTTTTTTAATCTTGACCAACTGGGGGGCCTCCAGTTTTCCTAAACCTCAGTTTTCTCATCTGTAACATGGATGTAATCTGATCTGCTTTTTCCCTTTAGAGGTGTAACAGTTAAATGAGAACATAGATATAATAGTATTATCTTGAGGGTGATTTTTTACAATTAAAATCAGCAGGAACATGGTAGAAGCTTTAAAAATATATGAATATCCAGGAGTGGTGGCGTATGCCTGGAGTCCCAGCTACTCAGGAGGCTGAGGCGGGAAGATCACTTGAGCCCAAGAGTCCAAATCCAGCCTTAGCAACATAGTGAAATTCTGTCTCTAATTATTAAATAATAAGGATATATGTATTGTTATTGCTACTACTTCAGATAGCATATTAATTATTTTTATGGAGTTTGTACTGTCTTCTTCCATTTGATGGAATGGATACTCATCTAACAAGAGTGTTGCACAGAAATGATTCCGAGAGGTTAGAAGATATCACATTATGTCTACACCCTGATCTAAGCCTATTGTTCAATTTCTTTAAATTCATGTGATCAGTTAACAAATACCAAAAATGAGAATTGAGCTAGAGTCTCTTAATTTTTTGTGTGTCACAGACACCTTTGGTAGTCTGGTGAGGTCAGTGTACCATTTCTCAGCATGTTTTAAAATGCATAAAATAAAATACATAAGATTACAAAGGCAGCCAATGATATTGAAATATATAATTATCAAAATATTTTTTAAAAACCAAATGAGTATAATAGTAATATGTGTGCTTCTTTAACATATTAAATAACAAGATCTAGTGGCAGTTCTAATAACTACTGTGACTGTGAAGTAGTTATGAGTATCGATATTTTGAAATATTTATAACTATAATGTGATAAAGATATATTTGTGATTTATATGGATTAAAAAGTCCCACAGACTGCTAACACTATTCTGGTTTTTACCTACATTTCAGTTAGAACTTAGTGGAAACAGAGATGATTTTTTTATCCGCCATTAAAATTCATGGAACCCTTGAATTCCACCCCGGCCCCTTGGGGAAATCCCAGTTAAGAACCTTTTGTTTAGACAAAAGAGGTTGTTCATTAGAGTAAATGACTCCTGGATTGAAAGTCCCTGGATGGCTCTCTACGAGGTGGAACCTCATGGGAACCCTCAGTTTGAAAGCAAAGCACAGGAATCTTGAGTGGCCCTGTAGATAGGCCTTTCTAGGGATTTACAGGGCTGTAGACTTAAAGCTGCTGGGGATAGGAAAAGTATCAGTTGACAGTAAAATCACGAATTTTACGCAGTACTTTTTTTTTTTTTTGAGAC